CTCATATGTTAAACTATTAAGGATCCACACAAAACCTTGAAATCAGGAAGTACAAGAAACATCACGAAAAAAATAATTTCAAATTCAACACAACAACAAAAATTAACATTTTGTTTGTGTTTAAATTTTGTATCAATGTGTGTTACTAATCTAAAATGTCCGATTTTTACTGCAATAGAAAAAGCACGAACCAATAGTAGATTCGATGACACCAGATCACATAGCCAGATCCTCAAGGAAGGCAATGACATTTTGTGCAAGATCATTGTAATAAAGTAATTGTGGATAATTTATATTGAATAGCCTATTATGCGGAGATCCAAAAAGATTATTTGTGTTTAAATTTTGCATCAATGTGTGTTACTAATCTGAAATATCTGATTTTTACTGCAATAGAATAAGCAGGAACCAATAGTAGATTCGATGACACCAGATCACATAGCCGGATCCTCAAGGAAGTCAATGACGTTTTGTACAAGATCAATGTGATAAAGTAATTGTGGACAAATTATATTGAATATCCTATTATGGACAAGATCATGTAAACATTTTGTGATACAATGATCAATCATAATATACAATGTTAAAGGTAATCAGATAGCTAAACCTCTTGTTTAATTTACAGATATGACCTAAAATTGTTAAAGATATCAATGAAGTTTTCTTCGTGGAAGACTTAAAGCATGAGACTTAGTATTCACTCTCACTAAAGATAGGTCTTATTTCATTTTTGAACAAATCTTCTAAATAGAAAGAGATGAAGTGTTCCATTAATTACCTTTTTCAAATATCTTCTCTTGCTGTATCCATTTACAAAAATTGGAGTTTTCCTTAACACAATGTCAAGTAACCACACTACTCATATGTTCTACTATTAAGAATCTACACAAAACCTTGAAATTAGAAAGTATACGAAATATCATGAAAAAAATTAATTGCAAATTCAACAGAATGACTACTCATGTGTTCTACTATTAAGAATCCACACAAAACCTTGAAATCAGAAAGTATCAGAAACATCACAAAAAAAATTATTTGAGGATTCAACAAAACGACAAGAATTATAGATAATCTTATATGATGAGATCCCAAAAGACCAACAATGTTTGGTCATATCTTTAGCTGGTCACAAATGCATTTTACTTAGATGAGTTAACATTTTGTTTGTGTTTAAATTTTGTATCAATGTGTGTTACTAATCTTAAATGTCCGATTTTTACTACAATAGAAAAGGCACAAACCAATAGTAGATTCAATGACACTAGATCGCATAGCCGGATCCTCAAGGAAGGCAATGACATTTTGTGCAAGAGCATTGTGATAAAGTAGTTGTGGACAATTTATATTGAATAGCCTATTATGTTGAGATCCAAAAAGATTGTTTGTGTTTAAATTTTGCATCAATGTGTGTTACTAATCTGAAATATCTGATTTTTACTGTAATAGAATAAGCACGAACCAATAGTAGATTCGATGACACCAGATCGCATAGCCGGATCCTCAAGGAAGGCAATGACGTTTTGCACAAGATCAATGTGATAAAGTAATTGTGGACAAATTATATTAAATATCCTATTATGGACAAGATCATGTAAACATTTTGTAATACAATGATCAATCATATTATACAATGTTAAAGGTAATCAGATAGCTAAACCTCTTGTTTAATTTACATGTATGACCTAAAATTGTTAAAGATATCAATGAAGTTTTCTTCGTGGAAGACTTAAAGTATGAGACTTAGTATTCACTCTCACTAAAGATAGGTCTTACTCCATCTTTGAACAAATCTTCTAAATAGAAAGAGATGAAGTGTTCCATTAATTACCTTTTTCAAATTTCTTCTCTTGTTGTATCCATTTACAAAAATTGAAATTTTTCTTAACACAATATCAAGTAACCACACTACTCATATGTTCTACTATTAAGGATCTACACAAAACCTTGAAACTAGAAAGTATAAGAAATATCATGAAAAAATTAATTGCAAATTCAACACAATGACTAATCATATTTTCTACTATTAAGAATCCACACAAAACCTTGAAATCAGAAACATCACAAAAAAACTTATTTGCGAATTCAACAAAATGACAAGAATTGTAGATAATCTTATATGATGAGATCCAAAAAGACCAACAATGTTTGGTCCTATCTTTAGCTGGTCACAAATGCATTTTAGTTAGATGAGTTAACATTTTGTTTGTGTTTAAATTTTGTATCAATGTGTGTTACTAATCTTAAATGTCTGATTTTTACTGAAATAGAAAAAGCACAAACAAATAGTAGATTCGATGACACCAGATCGCATAGCCGGATCCTCAAGGAAGGCAATGACGTTTTATGCAAGATCACTGTGATAAAGTAGTTGTGGACAATTTATATTGAACAGCCTATTATGTTGAGATCCAAAAAGATTGTTTGTGTTTAAATTTTGCATTAATATGTGTTACTAATCTGAAATATCTGATTTTTACTGCAATAGAATAAGCACGAACCAATAGTAGATTCGATGACACCAGATCGCATAGCCGGATCCTCAAGGAAGGCAATGACGTTTTGTACAAGATCAATGTGATAAAGTAATTTTAGACAAATTATATTGAATATCCTATTATGGACAAGATCATGTAAACATTTTGTAATACAATGATCAATCATATTATACAATGTTAAAGAGAATCAGATAGCTAAACCTCTTGTTTATTTACGCATATAACCTAAAATTGTTAAAGATATCAATGAAGTTTTCTTCGTGGAAGACTTAAAGCATGAGACTTAGTATTCACTCTCACTAAAGATAGGTCTTACTTCATCTTTGAACAAATCTTCTAAATAGAAAGTGATGAAGTGTTCCATTAATTACCTTTTTCAAATCTCTTCTCTTGTTGTATTCATTTACAAAAATTGGAATTTTCCTTAACACAATATCAAATAACCACACTACTCATATGTTCTACTATTAATGATCTACAGAAAACCTTGTATCAATGTGTGTTACTAATCTTAAATGTCTGATTTTTACTGAAATAGAAAAAGCACAAACAAATAGTAGATTCGATGACACCAGATCGCATAGCCGGATCCTCAAGGAAGGCAATGACGTTTTATGCAAGATCATTGTGATAAAGTAGTTGTGGACAATTTATATTGAACAGCCTATTATGTTGAGATCCAAAAAGATTGTTTGTGTTTAAATTTTGCATTAATGTGTGTTACTAATCTGAAATATCTGATTTTTACTGCAATAGAATAAGCACGAACCAATAGTAGATTCGATGACACCAGATCGCATAGCCGGATCCTCAAGGAAGGCAATGACGTTTTGTACAAGATCAATGTGATAAAGTAATTGTAGACAAATTATATTGAATATCCTATTATGGACAAGATCATGTAAACATTTTGTAATACAATGATCAATCATATTATACAATGTTAAAGAGAATCAGATAGCTAAACCTCTTGTTTATTTACGCATATAACCTAAAATTGTTAAAGATATCAATGAAGTTTTCTTCGTGGAAGACTTAAAGCATGAGACTTAGTATTCACTCTCACTAAAGATAGGTCTTACTTCATCTTTGAACAAATCTTCTAAATAGAAAGTGATGAAGTGTTCCATTAATTACCTTTTTCAAATCTCTTCTCTTGCTGTATCCATTTACAAAAATTGGAATTTTCCTTAACACAATATCAAATAACCACACTACTCATATGTTCTACTATTAAGGATCTACAGAAAACCTTGAAATTAGAAAGTATAAGAAATATCATAAAAAACTTAATTGCAAATTCAACACAATGACATAAATTGTAGATAAATCTTATATGAAAAGATCAAAGTCTGGCATAATTTGAGAGAGAGAGAGAGAGAGAGAGAGAGAGAGAGAGAGAGAGAGAGAGAGAGAGAGAGAGAGAGAGAGAGAGAGAGAGAGATGTATCTATTTACAAAAATTGGAAATTTCCTTAACACAATATCAAGTAATTACACTACTCATATGTTCTACTATGAAGGATCCATACAAAACTAATCAGAAAATATAAGAAATATATCACGGAAAAAATAATTGCGAATTCAACACTGACATAAATTGTAGATAATCTTATATGATAAGATCTAAGTCTGGCAAAATTTGAGAGAGAGAGATAGAGAGAGATCTATTTACTAAAATTGGAATTTTTTTTAACACAATATCGAGTAACCACACTACTTATATGTTCTACTATTAAGATAAGAAACATCGTGAAAAAATTAATTGCGAATTCAACACAACAACAAAATTTGTAGATAATTTTTTATGATAAAATCTAAGTTTGATAAAATTTAAAAAAAAGAGAGAGATAGAAAGAGAGAACCAACGGTACATTTATCCCTCTATATATTAGTAGAGAAGAATTTTCAAATTTTGTACATAACCGAACAAGTGGCCACACAAGTGTGGATATCAGCGTAACCGAAACAAGTGGACACACAAATATGGATATCAGCGATGTGGATAGCAGCGATGTGGATAGCAGCGAGTAGACACCTTCAGTGTCTACAAGTCTCTTTACATGTGGGATTGTTCATGTCAATGTGGTGTGTCCATGATAGAATGTTCATTCGGCCGGTAAAGAAAGACGAAATCAAAAGGAAAAAAAGTCACTCTTCATTAAAAGTAAATTAGGGTTTTTAAGTATGTAAAATAATGCAAATTACTCTTTATCTATAAGTGATTTTTTTTTTATATTAGCAAAGTCGAAATGATTTCCTATGTAATTCCCTATATTTAATGAAGTAAACAAGATAAAGCGGTGAGAAAGAAAAGTTTGTAATGAAGAGAGAGGGTGACCACTATGGAGACAGCGCAACCCATTTACTCATTATTTTTCATGCCATCTTTTATTTTTCTCCTTATATACAAAAACAAAAACTTTGTTTTTCTTGCTAATGCTCAAGACATTGTGGAGTAACAATCAGACCTGAATCGATCTGTCTTCTTTCTTCTCTCTTGCAGCAATACTGGGAATTTAGCGGCCAATCATTAACTCTCTGCTCTGTCGTCTTCTGTGTTCCAATTTTCGTTCCATCTCCTTTCTTTGAAGCTCTTCTGCGTCAGCAATGGCGTCTAGAACCAAGTGAGTAGTTTTTTTTTCTTTCTTCTCCATAATAAACTCTTGAACTTTAAATCAAATTGGATCTGAGATGCTTATCTTCCATTTTATTGTTTGTCCGATACTATGTGGCTCATTAAGGCAGCTTTTGTAATTTAGTTTCTTCTTAACTTATGATGTGCTTTTGTTTCGTTTATCTCTCATTTAAAATGATTTTTGTCATGCTTTATTGTTTCCTTATTAACTCTCCAAAATTTTACTTGTTCAACCCCAATTCTTATCTTTTGATATCCAGATTTATGTTCCAGAACTTGTTCTTTGGATAACTTTTCTTCTAGTAGATGCATATGATCTGTGAATTAATAATTGGATCTGTATTTTGTGTTGAATTGAGCTGAATAGTGAATCCTAAATTGCTTGAAATGTAGTTGATTTAGTTAATTGAAATATTGTTATGGTAATACTCTTGTTCTTGGATAATCTGTCTTCTACTAAATGCATATGATCTGTGAATTGATAACTGGATAATTTGTATTTGATCATATATATTATATGAATGTAAGTAACCTTGTATAATTTGTATTTGATAATATATGTCCATTTTCCTGTAGAACGGGTTTGATGGAGACTCCTCGTAGTAAACCATCACCACCACCTCCTCGAGTTAGTAAACTCAATGGTGCTAAATCCGATGGCAATTCGGCTTCCCCGGTACCAAATACACGTCTTTCGCTCGACCGTTCTCCTCAAACAGTTAGCTCAAAGCTTGCTCGGACTGCTAGAGTTCCTACACCCGAGGCAAGTAACTGATCATTTTATATGCTTCATGAAGCTTAGTATTGGGAGATCGAGAAGATCAAGATTACGGAAATCAAGAAATACTGAAATATGTAGAATGATGATCCAGAAGATTGGGGCAATGCTATTTGCTCCTTAGCTTTCTATCATTCTAAAATCTTCTTGGTTTCCATAATCTTGCTATGGTCGATTTTCTCATCTCCCAGTAGTTAGCCTGTAAATTAAAATCTTGTTTCTCCTCTGCAACATTATGTGTTTCTTGCTTTTTCTGTTGTTTGTGAAAATAACTGATCTGTTAAAACCGTTTGACATTTTCAGAAAGTGCAATCACGGTTGGTAAAAGGGTCGGAGCTTCAGGCGCAGTTGAATCAAATCCAGGAGGAGTTAAAGAAAGCTGAGGAGCAAATAGCATTGCTCAAGAAAGAGAAAGCTAAAGCCATAAATGATCTTAAAGGATCAGAGAAACTCGCAGAAGAAGCCAGTGAGAAACTCAGGGAGGCATTAGCTGCTCAGAAACAAGCTGAGGAGAGTTTCCAGGTCGAGAAATTCCGAGCTGTTGAACTGGAGCAGGCTGGACTCGAAGCAGAAACGTCGAGGAACGAGCTAGAGAATGTTAGAAGCCAGCACGCGTTGGACATCTCAGCTCTCCTCTCTACCACAGAAGAACTCGAGAGGATCAAACATGAATTGGCTATGACCGCCGATGCTAAAAACAAGGCGCTAAGCCATGCCGAGGAAGCGACCAAGATTGCTGAAATCCACGCTGAGAAGGCCGAGATTCTTGCTTCGGAGTTAGGTCGGTTAAAGGCGTTACTCGGTTCAAAGGAAGAAAAGGAAGCTATTGAAGGTAACGAGATTGCTTCTAAACTGAAGTGTGAAATTGAAATGTTGAGAAAGGAGCTTGAGAAAGTAAGTATACTTGAGAGTAGTATGAAAGAGAGAGAAGGATCAATAGAACAGCTTAACGTTGATCTAGAAGCTGCTAAAATCTCTGAATCTTCAGCTAATGTTTTGGCAGAAGAATGGAAGAACAAGGCTCATGAACTTGAGAAACAAGTTGAGGAATCAAATAGGTTGAAGATATCTGCTTCAGAGTCTATGGAGTCAGTTATGAAGCAGTTTGCTGAATGTAATCAAGTTCTGCATGAGACGAACTCAGATAATTCAGCACAAAAAGAAAAGATTGAGGATCTAGAGAGAACAATTGAAGCGCAGAGAAAAGATCTCGAGGAATCTGTACGACAGGTTTGCGTTGCTGAAGAAGAAGCTTCTAAGATGGAAAAACTTGTTGAATCAATAAAATCTGACCTTGAGATCTCCCAAGAAGAGAAAACTAAAGCCTTGGACAACGAAAAGGCTGCAACTTCAAATATTCAGAGTCTATTGAATGAAAAGGCGGAACTTTCGGTAGAGCTGGAACGATGTAAGATGGAAGAAGAGAAGAGCAAGAAAGATATTGGGAGCTTAACGTTGGCTTGGCAGGAAGCATCTACTGAAGCAAGGGAAGCTAAGGAGAAGCTCTTGGCAGGTCAAGTGGAGCTCGAGTGCCGCGAAGCCGAGGTTGAAAGTTTGAAGTTGGATTCAAAGGAGACAAATGAAAAGTATGGAAAAATTCTTGAGGAAGCAAGAATTGAAACTGATAGTTTGAAAAGTGATCAAGATAGCAAGAGGAATGAGTTTGAGAACTCTAAGGCTGAGTGGGAACATAAAGAGCTTCATCTCATGGGTTGTGTGAAGAAATCAGAAGAAGAGATTTCGTCTTTGCAGGAAGAAGTAAGCAGGCTGGTCAATCTGCTAACAGAAAGCGAAGAAGATGCATGTGCAAGGAAGGAGGTTGAAGCCAATCTGAAGAATAATATCAAAGAAACTGAAGAGGAGATAAAGTATCTACAGGAAACACTTGGTGAAGCAAAAGCTGAAAGCATGAAATTGAAAGAGAGCTTGTTGGACAAAGAAGATGAGCTAAAGAACGCCATTACAGAAAACAACAGCCTCAGAGAATGGGAAGGTACTGTACTTGAGAAAATCGAGGAGTTGTCAAAGGTAAAAGAAAGCTTGGTCGACAAAGAAACCAAGCTGCAGAGCTTAGCTCATGAAGCTGAGGAGCTGAAAGTAAAGGAGGCTGCTCATATGAAGAAGATTGAGGAGATGTCAATGGCGAATGGAAGCTTGATTGATAACGTAGCCAAATTGCAGAATATTGCTCAAGAAAGTGAGGATCTCAGAGAAAGGGAAGCTGCTTATCTCAAGAAGATCGAGGAGGTATCATTGGCGAATAAGAGCCTGGTTGATAGCGTAACGGATCTGCAAAGCATTGCTCAAGAAAGTAAGGACCTCATAGAAAGGGAAGCTGCTTATCTTAAGAAGATTGAGGAGTTGTCAGTGGCAAATGAGAGCTTGCTTGATAAAGAGATCAAACTGAAGTGCATCGATCAAGAAGCTGAGGAGCTCAGAGGAAAGGAGGCTGCTCATTTGAAGAAGATTGAGGAGTTGTCAAAGGCGAATGAGAGATTGGTTGATATGCAGAACGTCATTCAAGAAAGCGAGGGTCTCAGAGAAAGGGAGGCTGCTTATCTTAAGAAGATTGAGGAATTGTCAATAGCGAATGGGAGCTTGGCTGGTAACGTAGCCAATCTGCAGAAAATTTCTGAAGAAAGTCAGGAGCTCAGAGAGAGAGAGACTGAATTAGTTAAGAAGACAGAGGAGTTGTCACTGTTGAATGAAAGCTTAGTTGATAAAGAGACCAAATTGCAGACAGTTGTTCAGGAAAATGAGGAGTTGAGAGAAAGAGAGTCTGCTTATCTTAAAAATATTGAGGAGTTATCAAAGTTACATGAAATCTTTGCTGATAAAGAAACCAAACTCCAGAGTTCTATTCTTGAAAAGGAGGAGCTTAAAGAAAGAGACACTACTTATCTTAAGAAGATTGAAGAGTTGTCAAAGGTGCAAGAGGATCTTCTTAAAAAAGAAAGTGAGTTGCACTGTATGGTTGTGGAGATTGAGGATCTTAGATCTAAGGAGTCTCTAGCCCAAATGAAGATAGAAGAGTTATCAAATTTCAATACAAGTTTGCTCGTTAAAGAGAATGAGTTACAGGCTATCGTTTGCGAAAACGAGGATCTGAAGTCGAAGGAGGTTTCATCACTAAAGACAATAGACGAGCTATCAGATCTTAATCAAAGTTTGCTTCATAAAGAAAAGGAGCTGAAGGCTGCAATCGTTGAAAATGAGAAGCTCAAGTCCGAAGCAGCCTTATCCCTTCAGAGGATTGAAGAGCTGACAAATCTTAAACAGAGTTTGCTTGATAAGCAGAACGAGTTGCAGGGCGTCTTTCAAGAAAACGAGGAGCTTAAAGCCAAGGAGGCTTCGTCTTTGAAAAAGATTGATGAGTTGTTACACCTTGAGCAAAGTTGGCTTGATAAGGAAAGTGAGTTTCAAAGAGTTACTCAAGAAAACGAAGAGCTTAAGACGCGGGATGCTTTAGCAGCAAGGAAAATAGAGGAGTTGTCGAAGCTGAAAGAGAGTTTACTTGACAAAAGAACCGAGTTTCAGACTGTAATCCAAGATAATGATGAGCTGAAAGGCAAAGAAGCTGCCTCTCTTGAGAAAATGGAGGAATTATCAAAGATGCTAGAGGAAGCCTCTCCCACAAAAGAGAGACCAGTTCTTGAAAACAGTGAGCTTATCAGCATCGGTAACGATTATGACGTGGTTCAGTTTTCCGAAGTAAGTGCGGAGGAAAACACAAAGAGTGATCCCTTTCATAACAGAAGCAGAGACCACAAGGTGCAAGAAAGCCCCCTGGAAGCAACTGATAAACATTTGATGGGTGATAGAGAAGCAACGCATAAGGTAGGGCACAGAATTGAAGGAGAAGAAAAAACAGAGTCTGAATTCAAGATGTGGGAGAGCTACAAGATAGAAAGAAGCGAAGTATCACCAGAGAGAGAGACCGAGCTCGGCTCCGTCGAAGAGGAGGTTGGGTCGAAAGCAGAAGGCAGTGAGAACTTGGATCAGTTCAGCAGTGGCTTATCTTCAACAGACCACACAGAAGGTTCTGGAAGTCTGCTCTTAAAGAAATACCATATGAAAAAAAAGAAACCGTTGCTCAAGAAATTTGGAAACCTGCTTAAAAAGAAGAGTTCAGGCAGCAGCAGTCAGAAGTAGAGGAAGATGATGATCTCTTTCCAAATGAGCATTTCTTGGTTTATAGATATTATCTTTAAGAGTATAGCTTTGAATTTGATATATGCTTTTACATGGCTACCAATCAAGATTTAGATTGTCTGTGACATTACACTTGCCCTTTGATCTTGTTCTCTTTTTGTTTTGTTCTTTCTTGAAGTTGTTTTTGTTTTTTCGTGGGTGGTGGGTATTAGCGTACTGCAAAGATTGAACATTTCAATCATTATCTGTATAGAAGCAGGGTTACATATGAAGAAGAATTGCTGTATTTTTTTGGTTAGTTGTTAGCCTAAGTTTTCCTGTATATGAATTGTCAACCATTTTTCATGCAAGGCTTTGTTGGATCTCTCGCAGTTAACTTTGAATAAATTTTTTTTGTTACATTCTGTATTTTTTTACAAACTTAGAGTTCAAGGTTGTGATAAAACATAATTATCAAACTAAGACTTGATCTTATTACATAATATCTTTTTCCAGTTAATCTGAAAAATAACACAAAAAAGATATTGATAATGCATGCAGTTCATTGTCCTGAAAATGTTTAGTTCGCTATCAGGTAAACAACTATAATTTTTCTTAAGAATTATAAATTCCACAATCTCAGTTATTCATATAGATAAATTAAACTGTATAAGTTATGATTAAAACAAGAAAACTAAGATTTATGGACAATACAATACACAATACTGGGACAGATCAGGAAAGACATTAAAACAAAACAAACGAAGAACCATTCTTCACTTAATGGCGAAACTCTATCCTAATCACTACCTCTTGCAAACTTTTCTCTAGGCAAAAAACGGTATTTTTGACAAAATTTGAGTCTGTTCATATTCTTTACCATAAGATTATTGTGAAATTCTCTTGAGTTACCTAAAATCGTCAGAAAAACTGACAAGACAAAGAAGACTCATCTATCGTTATTCTATTTGTCATTATAGTTGTCTCTCCAAGAGAGTAACAATGCATTGCACTGAATTTCCCTAAATAATAATAATAAAATATCGTTAGTGAACTTTAATAAAAGATGCAAGGTTACATCCCATAATATTTCTTACAGTTTGACTGAATAACTAAATAGACCATAATATATAATCAATGTTTTGAAACCCGACCCGAACCGGTCGGTTCGTCCAGTTAAACCGAAACTCGATCACTAATCCGGGTCGTTCTACTTTTCAAATCTAAAATTTATTAACCCGGTAAAATCTAGAAAAATCTGCAAGTAATTTGTAACTCAGTATCCGTTAACACGGTTAAACCAATAATTTTATTTTTTTAATAAAAAAATCTTTTTAATATAAAAAATCCCTAATTAAATTATAGGTTTTTGTTATTTTGTGACTTTTATCGATTTTTAAGGTTTGTAATATGTATCAACATTGATTTTTTTTTTTCAGCTGCTTCTATTATGTTTTGAACAATTTATGTTATATTTTTATTTTTAATAATTTAAATAGTTTATGTTATATTTTTTATATTTAAATCTATTTTTCTATTTTTAAAACTATATATTACATATATTATATAAAAATTTATTAATTAGTTAACCCTCGATTAACCCGAGTCAATTCAGATTGACTCGGAAATCCAGTGATCCGATAAACATTCCAGTTTTCTTTCCGGGTCGGGTTTCAAAACATTGTATATAATATAGTTTGCAATTTATCCTGATAAAGAACTATGGGATAAATAATTTTATTAAGTAATTTATTACAATTGCATACCACTCGTATTCGCTTCCAGCTTCTCTTTGTCTCTACTCTCTACAACGCCATCTCCATTTTTCTCCATGTTCAGTCTCATGGCTTGCAAAATTAACCGCTTTCACATACACGTGGAAGAATCTTTGGATTATCAGTATGGACTGTCCTCAAGGCGTCGTATACCGCATCCTATTAATTTGAATTCGTTAGAGGAACACCTTCTTCGACTATATAGATACAATAGTTCAATAAAACCATATGACTACCCAACATAGTTTCTTGATAGTGTATTGGCCAATCATCAGAAGCAAAGTGGTTCCTATATTTGTCTGTGAAATGACAACATACATGGATGCTGAATGAAATATAATTTATGGACGTACACTTAATCATTACGCAAGTCTTAAATTTGAAGAACTGTTGAGATGGAGATGTGTGAAGTAGAGAGATGGATGCTGAATGAAATATAATTTATGGACGTACACTTAATCATTACGCAAGTCTTAAATTTGAAGAACTGTTGAGATGGAGATGTGTGAAGTAGAGAGATGGACAGAGAGGTTCCAGTAGTATGGTGTTGAACCAGACAATCACCATTAGAGTTTGATTAACAGTTGTGGATTTTGGAGAATAAGATCTTTTTATTAATAACAAGTAAACGAAGCAATTACAATAAAAGGTATAACCGAGAAGTTATGCCGAAGTGAAAAAGGTGTTTGCGAAGTAAACTAGAAAGCGTTGGAGTCTCTGGGTTTACCTCTACTGCTCTCTAGAATGTATGAGTTGTTCTTCTTGGCTTCGAGGTCCTCTTTATTTATAGGGATATGAGGTCGGTTGCTTCGAACTCCTTTTCCTTTTTGCCTTTGGTAAATATTTCCATATTTGCGATATGGAAATATCCCTTATTCTCCAAGGAATAAGGAAATTCGCTTTCATCCTTCGAGTTGATCTGATGTTTCCGGTCTTCGATGGTTATCTTTAGGGTATTTTCTTTAGTTAGAGCTAGGTCGGCGCGGTCTTCATGGTCCTGATGGGCTTAAGTTATTGCTAGAGAAAGCCTTCAAGGAAATATGCTCATTTTCCCTCTAACAGTAAGTCCCCCTCAGTTCGGCGAGACTGATTGTAAATCAGATCGGCGAGCTTCATGAAGTTTTTAAGTGGGTTTGATCTCGCAATAAGTGTTAGCTCGTCAAGAGCATTGTTTCACGATGGCCAGCTCGGCCCGATTTTAAGTAGACTTGACGCATGGCGCTCTTCAAGAATTTAATTATTATATACCCCGACCCATTTTTAGGGTTTTGCTTTCAAGCGGGAAAATCGAAGGGTTCGCCAAGCGGCGAGATTACGCGAATCTTGACACGCGTCCTTTTAGGAAACTGTTGATATTTCTTTTTGATTTTATTACTTTACTTCTTCGTCTTTTTGCTCCAGATATCTCTTTGCCTTCTTACTCCATAAAATTCTTAACTATCTTCTGTTTTGTGATAATTTTTCTTTTTTTTTCGCCGATTTTCCATTTGTTCTTTTAATCCAATCAGAAATTTTCAAAAATGTCAGCTTCGTCTTCGAACTCTTCTTTTGATGATGACGAGATTTGTCTCGCCGACCGTGCCAGGCAAGCCTGGATTAGTCCAGTCGCTTCTTCTTCTTCTAACTCCAAGGGGTCCTCGGGTTATCGGGATGAAATTCCGTCGGATCATCCTGACGCGGACTCCGAAATGGACTTGGATGGTCCCGAACCACTGGGTTTTGAGTCAGAGATCAGAATCGAAGGTCTTCCGCAGAAGGTCACAATGTCAAAGCACAGGACCGGCGTTAAAGACGGAAGGACCTGGATGACTGCGAAAAGACTTCAGGAGCTTTGCTTGAAATGCCATTTTCCCGAGGGGGTCGAGCTTCTACTTCCCCAGGTTCACGAGAGAGTGACCACACCCCCCAGAAGGTTATTTTTGTTCTTACGAGTGCCACTTCGCGGAGTTCGGCCTCCAGTTCCCGATTTCACTGCTTCTCCGTTACTGTGAACGGAGGAAAATGCAGGTGGCACAGCTTTCTCATGCTGTAATTCGTCACTTTAACAGCTTGGCGGGGGTTGCTCGCGCAGCAGTGGTTCCTTTTAACTGGGATATCTTTGAAAGGATATCCATCCTGAAGAAAGAAAGGATAAACCGTGGCGGGTGGCACCATTTTTTTATACCGCGATGAAGGAGGGAATCATCGGTGGGGACCCGACGAGTAAGGTTCACGAGTGGGACCGATTTTTCTTCTACGTGAAGATTAACGAAGCATACATTTGCAGTTCTGAGCTTACCTCTCAAGACTTGGAGGTCGACGCCATGTAAGGCGAACTGAGTTTCTTTTACCCCCCCACACCCCCCCCCTTTTTTTGGTAATTCCTGGATGCTAATGTGTATTTGTTTTGGTATGGTAGTAGCAATACGTCTTGGAGATGACCCGATCGGGTTTGACGACGATGTTAAGAGGCTGTGCGTCCTGAGCCGGCAGCTGTGGTCCGAAAAGGGAAAAAAGGGACCGCTGATGAGAAAAAGAAAGCAGCAAAACCGGCCGAGAAGAAGACCAATTCTCCAAAAGCAGGTAGACTGCTAGATTGAAGCAGTTTTAATTAGTGCTTGGTGATGAGATCTTACTGACGCGTTTGTTTTTCAGCTCCTCAGAGGACTTCGCAGCCGAAACCTGTAAGGGCTGGCCGAAAGAAGAGGAAGGCGGCTTTGCCGGGTGCCGCAGATGCTTCTGCGAGTTCTTCTGTAAAGAAGAAGAAGATGACTTCCCAGGATCCACCTAGCTTGGTGGATTCTGATGATACCGAACTGGCTGTTGAGAACGAGACTCTTGCGAGGTAAACTCATTTTCTGGCTTCGCATGTTATTTTATCATGCCGAGATGATCTTTTGACGTTACATTGTTATTGTTTTTCAAAGTTTCTCCAGGGCAGCAGCGCTAGAAAGATTGAGGTAGATGCGGACTGGGAAAGCTGCGAGGGGTTCTCAGGGTGAAGTGTCTCAAAACCCCACCTCTCGAGTCGTGGATGGTGGTGATGGGTCACTTCCGACATTGCTGGGAGCCGTTGCGAGGTTGCTTCCTCCCCTCCCCAAGTTGATATCCCTTCGGCATCCCGGACCAATGTACCTTTGTCGCCCCGAGCGGACATTCATTCACTGCCTCGGACAGATGTGCCTCAAAGCCCTGAGACTCATGTCGCAGAAGACGTAGGTCGGGAAAGGATCGAGGAGCCTGCCGCGGCTCATTATGAAGGGCCGA